CGTGGCTAAGTTGGGACACCCCTGCAGGGTTTAAACTTTTGAGAGTTGTGCCCGCGGTTATGTGGTAGATGGGAATTTTTAATGTTCGATTGTAGAGAACTTGACACCAGATCCGAATTAAAATACATCAACCGCGTGTGTAACCATGACTGTCTCTTTTCGAGCAAGTTCGGGAAGAGAACACGGTTGGGTTATGCTTGAACGTAAGTAGATCAGGATCGCTTCTTGATCATTACGAGTTGGCGACCGCTTGCGTAGTTTCTCATCTTATTTTTGTACTCGTAAGTTAACCACCATACAATGCTTAGTCGCTTGTTGCAACCTCACCACTTATCCATTCCATACTCATTAAGCTTTGCTACTCTTGATACCCATGGTAATGGGATTGCTGAGTCCGTATGGCTCACAGATTACTACAGCAACAGTTGCAGGTACAGGTAATGCGATGATCTAACACGAGTGCGATGCTTGCTTGTTTGGAGTTCTTCTTCTGCTTCTTCGATCAAGGGATATAGGTTCCGGGTCGGGAGCCTGGGCTAGCAGGGTGGATGTCGTTCTTCTTTTTCGTTTGATTTCATCCGTAGTCGGATCCTGCTCTTCTGTATGATGATTGCTATGTATTAATGTATTGTTGTATGAATGTTGTAGCTTGTGGCGAGTGTAAGCCTTTATCTTGTATTCTCATTTATTCAGTACATGGTATGTTGTAATGATATCCACCTTGCTACGCGCTCGAAATGGGAATGTGCCTCAATCATGAATTCATCACGTGATTGAGATAGAATCGCGTCATGTGCGCTACAGTTTTGAGTTTCTATATCCCCTAATTATTGACAAGAGCGTTGCAGGGGACAACTAGCTGATCTATAGAGTTCATCGAGAACTACCCCTATTTTGATGGATGTCTTCGTGGAACTTTGAGTTTTATCTCTTGGAATTTTCTTTCGGTGGAATTTTCTTTTTATGGGCCTACAGATTCGAGCGTAGCTAGCTGTTTGGAAATGGGAAGAACAAGCACAGACATGACTCTGCAAGCCAGCGTGAAAGGTATAATATATGAATACTTACTTTTCTCGCGAGTTTAATTAAGTCAATACTTTTATTTGGCTGGTTGCACTTAAACTTCATTCCCCGCGTTAGTTTATTATCATTTAGTTCCAGTTCCCAATCCAGGTCTTGCTAGTGAAACTTTGATATTAAGCATTGTTTTAATTGGAAAATCCAGTAAGACAGAGAGAAAAAGTTCTAAAAGAAAACTTGGGGGCTTGTATTTTGAAGAGAATTAGCACATAAGACAGCCAACTCCATAGGACTTAATTTGATTGGCTTGATGGTACTGACTCATAGATTTTTCTAGAGGAATGAAAATTTGAGGTGATGGAGGTTATGCCAAAACCTGTTTTGCAATACATGGTTGATCGCTTTATGCATGTTTCATGGCCCGTCACATTTTTTTGCTTTACGTGCATAATTGTGATTTCATCGCCTCTCTTGAGTTTATGCCGAGGACACTCCGCTGGCAACGAGCGATTCAACAGAGCTTCAGCTCAGATTTTTGCTATGAGTCTATTAACATTGCAGTGACAACACTGTAGCGAATATAATTCAACTCTCTCTTGAGAGTGTGTGTATGTGCAAAAACAGAATACAGACCGTGCGCTCGAAAGAGACAACTTTTGGTCCATATATTCAACTAGAAGCCACAACAAAATAACGGCATAATACCGTCACCAATGATAGAAGTTCCAACAGACAATGATTGACTGCTTAGGCGGTGCGAGTGGGTCTTAATTAGACACTTGAGTACTATGTTTTCTTCTACCCAAAACCCCTTGGTTATGTTCATATTTTGGAAAGATCCAAAATGCAAAATCTATTCACGAGAGAATGCATTTTCGCTTGCTCTGCACCTAGTTAACTATCAAGTTTTACTTGCGAAGTGCAATCATTCGAATGCAACTATTCTCTTAATTAAGATTGCAGGATTTGTGAGAATGGATATATTACATCTTCACAAGCCAGTAAAACTCTTTACTCATTTGTCAATCTCCCTTTCACTCTTCTTAGTTCTTAATTGCTTGAAGACGAGAAAGACTTGAGCTTGGAGGACTCGATGGCTTGATATTTTGTCACTTTTATAAGAGGGTTTTGATATGGTTTCAGAAGGTTTTCAATAATTCTTGTATCTTTCTAACACTAATCCTTCAAAAGAGAACAACCTTTTTCTATTGATGTGCAAGAATATACATATTCTGGTGGAAGCCAACCAATATCCTAGCAAAGGAAGCCATTTGGAGCAACTCTACTTTTGGGCGAACATGTATTAGGGGCACTGGACCATAAGACGATGCATGGTACGAGGCAGACTACATGGAACGCATGGCACATGTCCCACCATGTGCGTCGCTAGCGAGCGAGCGGTACAACCGGCGCTATCGTTTGCCGGTCGACCGGAATGAATAGTTTGCCAACATGAACTACTAGCCGAGCCGAAGCATCGGGATTTTCCTCGTCTTCAAGGGCAAAAGGAGACGGATTTACGGGCTCGCGGGTGATGCTTCGAGAGAGGGGTACGCCCCAGCCGCCACTTAGAGCATCTTCAACAGTCGCGCTAAACAAGCGCCGCGTCGCAAATTTGATCATTTTAGCGCGCGCAACCCTGCAGGTGGCTCTATCGGGCGCGCAATAACTGTCGTGGTTCTAAGTCTGACAGTAGTGTAGGGGGTACTAAAGGAGAGGCAAGATCCTAGCTATGGAGTAGTTGTACACGCAAGAGTTTTACGAGTTCAGGCCCTTCTCGGAGGAAGTAACAGCCATACGTCTCGGTGCGCGGAAGCGGTCAACTGGATTATATGCGTGTGAGTTACAGGGGTGCGAACCCTTCTGCGTGTGGAGGGGGTGGCTTATATAGAGTGTGCCAGGACCCCAGCCAGCCCACGTAGCGGAGGGTTCAATGTACATGAAGACCTGGCGTTACTGGTAAAGTCTTATATAAAGTGATATCATGGCCATAAAGACTACTTAATAACAGACCGTTTGGATGCAGAGTGACCCTAGATCTCTTGGCGGTCGAGTGAGTCTTCATGGTCGAGTGTCTTTGAGTCCGTCGAGTGGAATCCTTCCGGGTCGACTGAAAGACAGTTTCTTCTAGAGATGTCCTTGGGGAGTGTATCTTGGACAGGTCCATGACCCTACCCTAGGTACATGGCTTCATCAATAACCGCGCGCGCGGTATAAGGAGTTGGGCGCGCGGTCGGATTCGGTATCTCGCGCGGTATATTTGGGGCGCCCGCTTCCGCGCGCGGCACACTTAAGCGCTCGTGCCGCACTCTCTCCTCTCCGCCTCCTACGCCCCGCGCGCGCCGGCGCCGGTGAACTGCACCCATGGACGCACGCGCCAGCACCCCGCTCACCCCATCCTACAGCCGCGACCCCTCCCCTGCCGCCGCCGCCGTCGGAAACCCTAGCGCGGGGAGCGTCGGCCTCGCCACCGCCGGAGCTCCGCCGAGCATCGGCCTCGCGCGCAGCCTCTTATTGCCGCCGCGGATGACCACGGCGACGGGTGGCGTCGCGCCGGCGCCGTCCCGTGCCGCCGCCGCCCCTCGAAGCTCCCCAATGCGGTGCGACCGGAGAAGGGTAAGACATCCGCGAAGAATAACAAGGCGGCGGACGGCTCCGGCAGCTCGAAGGCGAGGGAAAAGAAGTTTACAGGGCGTTTGACAGGCGCGGCGACTACCGAAGCGTCGGTGAGCTCACTCGTTGAGCCGGCCGCCGACGCGCACAACGTGTTTGACGATATGCCTCAAAGGTGGAATTTTTTTTCCAACTTTTCTTTTCTTGTTATTTTTTGAATGCATCCATATAGATAGGTTATTTGCATTGTTCTATATATTTTGTAGTGTCAATGATGATGCATACATGTCAACTATGGGTGTTGGCTCCAACAATTCGCATTGGTCTCAAACCAATGACATGCATTTTGAAAACCATGAGTTTGAGGTGGACGAGGATGATGAAGGCATTGTCGACGCGTCGAAAGGAAGAGCGGGCAATTACACCAAGGACGATGACATCTTACTATGCAATACTTGGTTGCAAGTGTCGAGGGATCCATCCGTTGGAGGTGATCAAAGTAGAGATACTTTTAAGGGGCGGATGAAAGAACACTTTGATGTTCGCAATGTGAGTGGAATTGACCGCTCCGAGAAATCACTTCGGTCCCAGTGGTCAACAATCAACTCAGATTGTCAAAGGTGGGCGACCTATCAATGTTCAAATTCATTTTGTGTCCAAAATGCCATATATGCACTGCCCCGGCGAGTCGCGCGCGCTGCATTTTTTACGCGCTGCTGGAGCGGCGTGCGCGCTGCATTTTAGCGCGGCTATTGGAGCCAGCGCTGGCGGCCGTGCAAAACCAGCGCGCGGCGCGAAGCACGGCTGTTCGAGATGCTCTCAGGAGAACGCTTGGCCCTGACAAAAAAAAACTCAAATGCCAAGTTCCTTTTTTTTTAGGAAATGCCATCATGACGGTTTATATTTCATGTGAGAATAAAGATACATCGTTTGATAAAACGTCTACTAGAAACCCTGGAGGCTCCGACTTCCAGACAATTGTTCGAGAAGTCTCTGAGTTCCTAAACAATACACCCGCCGCCATATTGGCCTCTCTAGGAAAGTGATGAAAACATATCGAAATAAAATTGCGAGCTAAAAAAAAAGCATTCTTCTTAGATTGCCGCCGCTGGGCCGAGTTTATACCAGCTGTAGTTGCAGCTCTTGAGCAAAGTCAATAAAAGCAGACAGAAGAGTTGCACGAACTGAGTTCAGTTAATTTTCCATTTGAAAATCGGCACGTAGCAGGCGATTATAAAGGCGCGCACGTAGGGAAGCTAGTTCGCCTGTCCTCCTCCATACTCTCTCCTCCCGCCTTCTCGCGAGCGCATTTACTCGTCAGCTCGTCGCTGCACAGCCCGGCCGGCCGGCACCCGCGCGCCAGACCGATGGCCGGTGGCGACGGCGGAGGGGGCGGCGGGGCGCAGGACGACTTCTTCGACCAGATGCTGTCGACGCTTCCCTCCGCGTGGGGCGACCTGGGCGCCGGCGGGAAGTCGCCCTGGGAGATCGCGGCGGGCGCCGAGGACCTCGGCGCCTTCGACGAGTCGACGCTGCCCGCGTCCAGGCTCCGGCAGCACCAGATCGGCGGAGAGAAGCCGGTCATGCTGCAGCTCACCGACCTCCAGAGGCAGGGCCTCGGCGGCGAGGAGAGCGGCGGCACGGGGTTCTCGCCGCTGCCGCTGTTCGCGGACCGGTCGCCCCCGCAGTCGCGCGAGGAGATGGACGGCGGCTTCAAGTCGCCCAATGGCACGGTAGGATCCTTGTTCTTTTCTGTCTCTCTCTCTCTCTCTCTCTCTAGTCAAATCTTGAAGTTTTTCAGTTGACATGGATTCGTTATGTGCGGGCGCGTGCGTGCATGCAGGGAGGTGACCACGCGCTGTTCAACGGATTCGGGGTGCATGGCGCCGGCGCCGCCGTGCAGCCGCCGTTTGGCCAGGTAAGATCGTGCACCGGTCAGGCCTCGGCGTGCTGGTGCCAGTGCATACGGGAACGAACACGGCCGTACGTGTGAAGCAACACCCATTAATGAATTGTCCTCTGATCGGTCGCGCAGGGAGGATCAATGTCGGGGCAGAGCTTCGGAGGAGGGCCGGCGGCGAGCGGAGGCACGACGGCGCCCGCCTCCTCCGGCGGCGGCGGCGGCGCGGCCCCGCCGCGGCAGACGCGCGTGCGGGCGAGGCGAGGGCAAGCCACCGACCCGCACAGCATCGCCGAACGTGTATGCATGCCACTCCCACTCCCACCCTCCCCTTTTCCATCTGAAATTTAAAAAAACCCCGACATGCTGGTGCACATCAACAACAACCCCAAAGTCTTCCCATCCCCCAACGTATATATTCTCCGCAAATTTCATCTGTCTTTTTGGATCTGCTGCGTGGCTGATGCTATTATTTTACAGTAGATAGAAGCACGAACTGTTGTCTATGCTATGCTTGTAATCAAATCGAAATTCATACGATTGTTTACAGTAGTATTTTACAGTAGAAGCACGAACTGTTCTGTTCCTATGCTATGCTTGTTATCAGATTGAAATTCATACGACTTTTTGCCCTGAACTTTCCTGTGCCTGGCATATCATTGCATGCAGCTCCGGCGGGAGAGGATTGCGGAGCGGATGAAGTCGCTGCAGGAGCTGGTCCCCAACGCCAACAAGGTAAAACAATCACATCCCCGACGAGAATCTCGCAGCGATCATACGGTTCCGCGAAATTCCTGCGTTTCCCATCAACCAGAAAGCCAGGAATCTCTCCCGGCGAGTGGGGGGTGGACGCCTGGACGGGATGCTGGCCCGTTTATGATTGTAGTGGGTCTGTATGGTAGCAGTGCGGAAGAGGGCACGCCGGCCGGCCGGTTGGTGAGCGAGGGTGCGGCGTCGCTCCTGTCTAGCTCACTGGTCACGTCATAATGTGATGTGACATGTGTGCCGCCGAAGCGTGCGCAGCACAGGGGTGGCGATGCGATGCGATGCCGCACGTGTCAAGTCCCGGAACTTGTTCCTGATTTTATTTTATTTATTATCTTTTTGAAAAAACTTGTTCCTGTTGTGGGGAATTTGGACTGAAGAAGGCCGCAGCCTTGGCTCTTCGGCTAGCTGAAGAAACGAGGCAGCTGATGGCCGGGATGAGAGACAAATGTGGCGCGCAGTGAATGGGCACATGGGCGCATTGGATGCCCTGTTTCGCCCTCTTAGTCCGGTAGTCATAATTACAGGCCCAGGTCAATGCCGGGATATGATCGTACTACTGAAATCGAGCCGCTTCGTGTAAAAATCTCTGCGCCGTGGACCGTGGTAGAATAGAATAGAAGAGGTGGTTACTGATGAGATGGACGTGTGCAGACTGACAAGGCGTCGATGCTGGACGAGATCATCGACTACGTCAAGTTCCTGCAGCTCCAAGTCAAGGTACGGTGGTGTTTGTGGATAGAGGTCGCTGTGTTTTTCCTGCTTCTGGTTACGTACGATCTGTGGGGGTGACAGCACGTTTTTTTCTCAGGTTCTGAGCATGAGCCGGCTGGGCGGGGCCGCCGGCATGGCGCCGCTGGTGGCCAGCATGTCCTCCGAGGTAAGTAACCTGACATCCAGTAGGCGACCGTGCAATCATGATCGATTAGCTCTCGATGGATACTTGAATACTGAGGTGCTTGAACGTTGCGAACGTGCAGGCGAAGAGCAGCGCGAAGAGCAGCAACGGCGGCGGGAACAGCGCGGCGGCCGCGGCCGCCAAGGCGAACGGCGGAGGCGAGAGCGGCGGTGGAGCAGGGGCCGGCGGGCTACGGGTGACGGAGCATCAGGTGGCCAAGATGATGGAGGAGGACATGGGCACGGCCATGCAGTACCTGCAGGGGAAGGGTCTCTGCCTCATGCCCATCTCCCTCGCCTCCGCCATCTCCTCCGCCACCACCACCACCACCTCCCCGGCCTCGCTCCTCGCCAGGCAGGCCGTCCGCCCCGGCGCCGCCGCCGCCGCGCTGACCTCCGCGAACGGCGGCGGCGACGACGCCCCCGTCCGGCCCGTCAAGGTCGACGCCGGCGCCGCGTCCGGCGGGAAGCCGTGAAGCTGACCGGCCGGAACAAGGGTGCATCCGTGCATGCATTATCTATGTTATTAGGATATAATCACATGTATCGCTCCTGTATACTCCTTCCCTTCCAATTTTCTTCCTCTGAAGATCAGACTCACCATGCACACGTACGTGCATGTGCATGATCGAGCGAGCTCCCATGAGAAGGCTTATCTCGCTCCCTCCATGAATTTGCATGAAGATCTTCTCTGAGTGGCTTCTGGTGTTCATGCGCTGCCACCTTTCGTGCATTTCAACGTTGACAAACACACAGCAGTATTAATCTCACAAGGTCAGCCGTTGACTCTGCTGCCTCGGCATATGCCTAAAAAAGATCAAAGCATCGTGCTGCGATCATGAAAGAGATCGCGGTCGGTGATATACATTCTTCTTGTGATGCGGCCATTAATGGTTCTGATGCTGCTAGTGATTAGTTGCGAGTAAAATGGTGGCGAGATGTGCAGGCTACTAACGCCGCACGACGTCCGTCGATGGGCTGGCTGGCTGACGTAAACAAATGCGGCGGAATAATTAGGGCGTGCCTTGCTCGCACGACACGGAGGGAGACGAGGATTAAGGGGGTGGATTGAGAATCAATCCGGCGCGAGGTGCCCACGTTGGTGGTGAGGCCAACGAGTTCCTGCCAGCTGGGGCGGAGGATTTTTGGATCCAGTAGACAACAACAAAAAACAGAGAAAGTCATGCCTCTCCCGTGTTGCCCCTGCGAGGCGACGTGCAGGACGATCTAGGTCTCCGTCGCCACCCCCCTTCCCTCTTCGTCGCCACCAGAGGGCGTGGTCGAGCTTCGGCGGGGCCATGGCGTTCACTCGTGCAGCACGGCCGGTGCAGGCCTGCTCCCCCGGACCGGAGCGTGGCGCGTGTTGGGTGCTGCGGCGTGTGGTTGCCGCGACGGCGCATATGTGCCGCAACAGCGTGGCTGGCAACATGGATGGTGGGGTGTGCCTGGGTTGTGGCGGCCAGATCTAGCTGGCAAGCAACTCGGGTCGAAGGATGTTGTCCCGCCTCCCGACGACGACAATGGTGCCTAGCCTGCGTTTGGTCGGCTTTGAGGTGATTGCGGGCGGTGGTACGGGCCGGTGGTGAGGCGGCCGTGGTCTAGCTGGCCGCGTGATAATCCCCAAGTGCATGAAGTTATTGTACTCCCTCCTTTTCTTTTTAGTTCGCATATAAGATTTGTCTTAAGTCATACGTAGTAAAATTTAAGTGAGATTGTATGAAAAAATATCAACATTCACAATATAAAATCGACTTCATTAGATGCATTATTGAATTAACTTTCATGTTGTATATCTCTATTATTGTAGATGTTGATAATTTAGTATATAAATTTGATCAAACTTTATGAAGTGCTAATTGATTCACAAGACCCAACCTACTGTAAAGATCCGGATCATCATGGATTTATACCCACACGTTAGTTCTTCCTGACACCACTGACGACGAAGCCGCACATCCATCATACTCGTCCAAGATAACCATATAAAATCGATAAGAATTTCATGTACTTTTTCCTTGGTGCATTACTTTTTTTCCAGTCACTGAGACAAAACATTTGTACCATGTACAAGTTGTCATCTACCTCCCTGAACTCGGTTTCTTGGGCCAAGCTTCATGAGAATTTCATGTTCTCCTTCAAAGCATTAGAACTATAGGGTTTGGAGGTGCTCACCCGAGCAATTACGAGCCATCGTGTTGTCTTCTCCATC